GGTCTCTCACTCAGAGGGAGGAACACAGATTGCAGGTGTTTGAGAATAGGGTGTTGAGGAGGATATTTGGGCCTAAGAGAGAAGACGATGGAGCATGGAGAAAAATGCATAATGATGAGCTTAGAAATCTGTACTCCTACCCCAGTATTGTCAGGGTGATTAAGTGGAGAAGAATGAGATGGGCGGGGCATGTAGCGCGCATGGATGGGACAAGAGGTGTGCACCGGGTATTGGTTGGGAAGCCTGAGGGGAAGAGACCGCTGGGGAGACCTAGACGTAGATGGGAGGATGTCAGGCGGGATCTATGGGAGATAAGAGTTGAAGGAGATTGGATTTTGTTGGCCCAGGACAGGGTCCGGTGGAGGGCTTTGGTTAATTCGGTGATGAACCTTCGGGTTCGGTAAACCATCTAGTTAGTTAGTTAGTTAGTTTAGTTAAAGGATACTCGAGACATAGTTCAGTCATTACCTACTGGAGTGCACTTCATCTGCCTATTGTCGATTCACATCACAAACATCGTCATCCACCGATTTATTATGCATAAGGCGAAAGATTAAATTGTACTTTCGTGAACCACATGAAATGAAATTTGTCTGATGTCACGTTGTTAGTTGTGAATAGAGCGGGAATCAGCAAGTTGGCCCTTCGCGTGTGTTTATTCTGAAAGTTGGGGACGAATGGCAGCACAGGCTTATAGCATATTCTTAACACACATTCTGTGTTATAATTCGCGTATTTGGACATTCACTTTGCTGAAATGCTAGAGAATCTGAAAAAAAAGAGGCGAGGGTTTTATTTTACTACAAGAGTTCTGATTCACAATCACAGCTTGCTGACAGTAGTTTGTAATTTCCAAAGACGCTGTATTACTGGATCCTTGCTTTCCATATCAGCCAGAAACTGCATATCTGTAATGTAAAGAGAAATGTGTCAAAAACGCCACCGAGAATGATTTAATGTTGGTCGCTTGTTAATACATCATTATGAGGCCTTGAAAAATTATACCAAGTTCTACTCGCGAAATTCGTCATTTCATAATATTTCAAAATAGCAATTGTTGTTGTTATCGTCGTCTGTGAAGTTATGTGGTTAAAAAAACTGGTGTAAGCGGGGTTCGGATTTAATTCAGTTAAAGCGATAAGCAAATACATCAAATAAAGAATTACGAACAACCAGTAAAAATCCAATATGAAAACCGAATATGTCCTTAAATTTGTAAAACTTCGGTAATATTAACGTTTATCTTCACGTAATTACTTCCATTAGCCGCACAAAACGAACATATAATGTGAAGGCAGTGTCCGAAATTTTCGTCTCAGATGATACTGAACGGATCTGACTCAGTTTTGGTGTTCGGGGTCTATACTAAAATCTGTCGAATAACTTAAAGTTCGGTTCCTATCGGTCAAACATACACTCTACTTCGAACTTCGATTTTCTAAACTGTCGCCGGCGTCAAAATTGACTCGGAAGATGACCACATTATTTGTTTCGAAGGCAGTGATGACAATACACAGTTGTCATACGTGAACGGTATGTGGCATCTAAACATATATACAGGGTGAGTCAGAAGTATGTTTACAAACTTTTTGTGCGTGTTCCTGGATCAAGAATAAGAAAAAATGTTCCTATAAACATGGGGTCGCAAATGTTTCATTTTCGAAATAATAGTCAAAAATAATTTTTAATGTATGCCTTTATTGCCAAGTATAAGGACAGGGATGTTTCTTTAAAACAGAAGCTCAAAGGTTGTTCCTCCATTCTCTACACTTGCACGAGCACGACGTACACAAGACTGACGAATTCGTTCGTACACACCAGGGTTTCCTCGAATCATTTGGCATGCATTCTGCACACTTTCCCATAGGTCATCATTTTTTATGGGTGTTGCATAAACGATGGACTTCAAGTGACCCCACAGATAAAAGTCCAATGGAGTCAGGTCCGGTGACCTCGGTGGCCTTGCTACTGGGCCACCACGCCCAATCCATCGCTGAGGGTGATATTAATTGAGGTGATATCTGACGCGATGGCGGAAGTTTGCTGGGGCTCTGTCGTGCATAAACCACATTTGTCTTTTTGTATTCAGTGGTACAGTTTCAAGGAGACGTGGCAAGTGTCTTCTTAAGAATCACCGCTATGAAGGTCCTCTTAGACGCGATGGAAGCATGTGTGCACCAATAAGCATGTCGTCAACATTTCCTGCCCAAACGTTTATTGAAAATCTTTGCTGGAAGCTGGATTCACTTTGATATAAAGTCAATTCATTGAAACTAATTTTTGGCTATTATTTCGAAAATGAAACATTTGCGACTATATATATATATAAAGTCCAACTTAACTCTTTAAACCTACTATTATACATGCGTTTTGCCACATGTGTGTATTGCGCTCTGTGTTATTCTTAGAATAAAACGCATTAACCACTCGATCATTGTAATGGAAACGCCTGTTTTCTCCTTGATGTCGGAACCGGATTTTTAAACATTATTATGGGTTCTTTGCACGAAGTATATAGCGAGAACGCATTATGTTTGTCCGTCCAGTCGATTCAACTAGAGAACTATAGGAGAGATTTGGATTAAATTTAATTTGCACGACATCAAAACCGTACTTCTGAATGCCATAATACCGGTGATAACAACATGACAGATAACGAAAGTCGTGAGGTGGACACTGAGAACTGGTGGATGTAGCATAAATTTGTTTATAACAATTGCCATGGTTGCCAATGGAAACCACTGTTATGCGTTCGTTGCATCAGTAATATATATAAAAAACAGCGAGGTACCGGTCTGTAAAATCTTGTATTTGGAAAATGTTGGAGTAGGCCCTGCATGTTTAGGACTACAACTTTTGTACGAAGCTAGGGGTCATTCCGAGGCACTCACCTTGGTCTTCCCCGTTTCAAATATATACAAATTTGCCCCTTACCGCCTGTACGCAGAAAGGCGTTCAGTGGCTCGGCCAGAACGCTCGCTGGTACAGCCATGTTGATGCGTGGGAATAGTGCCTTTGAGCTGGTGTCCATGATGTTACAGGAGATGATTCCCACCAAGTCGCCAGTGCATCTGAACAAAGCGCCCCCGCTTGCACCCGACTGGATGCAGCAACTTGTCTGCAGCACTGCCACAGGGTTAGATACATGGGTCACAATGCCACGTGTCACCGTGGGCTGGACGTTGTCATTTTCCGAGAAAAGTGAGAATCCAGCAGCGATCACAGGCTCCCCTAGAGGTTTCATCAGAAGATGTGAAAATAAAGCCTTGATTACATTATTATGTCGACAACGCGTGCGACCATTACGCAGGGGTTAACAAGTCGAAAGATCAGTAGCAGTTTCGTACTTAAGGAAACGGGGTGAAATTTACTTAAGAACCACTACATTTTACAGACCTCCGGGAGCAAGAAATCTTTCTATCCTTCCCTAATAAAGAACTTTTAATGAACCCCTTTTTCATTATTATTATTATTATCACTATTATTGTATGTATTATCAGTGTTTGCCTGTTATTAGCTTCTTGCTGTTGGCAAACACGTAAATAAATTAACTGAATTGAATTATCCCATCTATTCACCACTTTATAGGGTATGTACTTCCATGTACCCGAGACAGACCTTGTTCCTAAGGTACATAGGGCAGCAGCTATTTCCGGGATACATATTGTTTTTATCAAGTGCCACATGTATTATATAATTTTATTTTATGCAAGCGTCTTTCGAATGATGTATGAAGATCCCAAAATGGCGGTCTTCTGCAGTTCCCTGATGTGTTCGCCCGGGATGTTGGCCAAATATTTCCTGAGTGACCTGGAGACAGTTCCTATCGCTCCTATAATTATTGGGATTACTTTTGTTTGAACGTTCCACATTCTCTGTATTTCTATGAGGTCCTTGTATTTCAAGATCTTCTCTGCTTTCTTCTTAACCACATTTCTGTCAGTCGGTATTGCTATGTCAATTAAGAGGCAAGTTCCGTCTTTGTTTTGGATTATAATGTCTGCTTTATTATTTGGGATGGTTCTGTTTTGACTTGTTGGTTCCACAAAATAGTTATTTGGCTATCTTGACTTGTCTCTACTGTCTTCGGGATGTGTTCATACCAGTGTTTCTTTTCTAGCTTTACCCCAGCTTTCCTGCACATGTTAAAATGCAGCAGAGTACAGATCATGTCGTTGTATATATTGCTCTTTTGCCAGCACTGGGCATCCCGACACAACGTGATCTGTCGTTTCACCAAATTGCTTTTTTATTATTATTATTATTATAATCATCATCATCATCTACTTTCAGAGTCAGCCAAGTGTATTAAGATATAGTCCTTCAGCCAAGTGCGCAATTCGTGGAAATGACACTTGAAGATGTTTTGGGCATTTTTGGCAAAAGATCGTATCATTTAAGAACACATTCTCGATACGAGAAAGTGTTTATATTGAGTACATGTATTTAGTTTTGTTTTGTATCCACTTTTTATTGTTTTATGTATTTTGTATTTATTTGAATTGAACAGAACTTTTCTCAGTTTCATGCTTAAACATTCGGAGCTTTGTCAGTATTACTGATATTAGCTGGAAGGCAAAAGAGTTGTTGTAGTAGCAGCAGTAGTAGCTGCAGTGGGTATCATAATCACCATACTAGTTTCGTGTTAGGGAGGAAACCGATTTCAATATCGCTGGTAGACCGGTTGCAATGAGGATTTTCATGAAGATGACAGCATTCTGGGATATTTTGCCGTGTACTTGAATGGTTGGACCAGCTCTAACCAAGTGATCAATCATATAAGTGACAACATTCTTATTTCGATTATTTTAGTAGTGCTTTAATTGTTATGTAAAGTAACGTAAAGCGCCATGAAGGCGCTTTGGGGGAGAGGTGGTATAGCTCCTACTCATTCTTAACCTCGACACTAGATAGAGATTAGTGGTCAGCGTCACGCCCCGGCCGCGTTTTACCCCCGGGAAAGGACCGCGGTACCCATTGTATAGGAGGCTGAGTGGGCCCCAGAGCCGGTCTGGACGCAGAGGATAGAGGGAAGATCCTGTCGGGGATCGAACCCTGGCAGTCCAGTTCGTATCAGTCCATTTACTGACTCAGTTACTCCGTCGTAAACATAAAGTCACTGAGACAGTCCAATCCTAAGTTAAAAGTTCCGCCATGCCCACCATTTGTTACGCGTACATTGAGACCTCTACTTGCTGTTCAGTATCTGATCTTAAGATTGTTCTGTGGTTACATATTGGAGGTTAACCACCGGTTCTCTCGGCATACTTACTAAATATAGCTGACGGCCGTTAATTAGCAGCACCAACAGAATCCTTGACAGATATATTTATTCTCGTGCTTCGTTATTCAACTGGTTTTCAAAGAGCAGTTACACTCTGTGCTGGACCAGACTTTCCTATTTGTATAGGCCTAACACACTGAACTATAAAGTGCTAATAAAACTAACTGCGGCATTCAGAGGTTAAACAAAAATAATCTCTTCCTCTGTACGACGTTAAGCAAGGATCGGTAAAATCCCTTTACGTATTATTTTCGCTGAGTGCACGAAATTAACTCATAATGGGAAGACTTGTCTGCAGGTTTCACCTTCCTAACTAGCCAAAGGATTTAGATGATATTTGGTATTGAGGAGTGTACACTAGGAGTCAGGGCGAGGTTTACTTTGGTTCATACCGGTCTAAACAAAACCCTGCTTCATAGCTAAATGAAGTTCAAATGACCATCAATTTTAACGAAAATACTGGTACATAAGTACCTGATCAAAATCCGAAACATTTAACTTCAACGAGTTTCAAAACTTTACGAAAAACTCCATATTATTTATTCTTCTACGCAGTGTAATCTGTACCGTTAATTTGCTTTGCATCAAAAGATTTGTACCTACAATATAATACAATATATCAATTCAATTGGGAAATAATTATTTGACCTGCTTTTTATGTTTTGTTTTGTTTTGTTTACTGTTGTTTTCTGAAACACTCCAGCAAACAAATAGAACGCTGTTGTGAAGAAGTTTGTCTGCGATCTGATTAAACATCAGAAAAATTATACAGAGAAATAACTTACGAGTTTGGTGACACAAAGCGTCATTTGGCTCAACGCTTAAAGTGATTTGTGTGAACTGGTCATAATGATTACAGATAAGAGCTTTCTAATGAGTGTGCTTATTCAATCATCGCGTGACGGTTAGAATAATCTAATGGTTGAGTTTGAAAGTTCCACCCATTACAGAAAACTGCTCAATGCACAAGATATCGGCTGTGTGAGATTTCAGGTTCTCACAGCGATGTGAAGATTACAGCTTTCTGGGATGTTGCGCCGTGAAGTTTGGTAGAATTTTACCGACGTTTCAGAACGTGCTTACTGCCTCCATTATCGGGGCGATGAAGACAGCAAATAACTTAGAAACGTCGGTGATATATCAGACGACACATCGCAACATCCCAGAGGGTGGTGATCGAGATACCGGCTATTTAACCACATCGATCGGGATCTTACCTTTAACAGCCGCGTTACTGGAGACTTTTACTGAACTGAGAGCCAATCCCGGACCCACTCTCAATACAGCCACATCATAGGCAAGGCCATCTCTGCTCCGGAATAAAACACTCGCAGCGAATCTTCGGTTTTTCCGGTAGATCCACACACCACCGTTTCGTGCCTGAGAAAAGAAACCAAACTGGCAATGTCAGTCCATTGATTTATAGTTTAAACGAGAGGTTTTCAACATGAGGCCCACGGGCCCATGTGTTTTGTGCGGCCCGCGTGCATTTTTCTAAGACCTACTGTGTGATGAAAAATAGTTGCCCGATATTACCGAACACATATTGCTAACACATTCAGTATTTGGCAGTTCTCCCGCTGCGAGCAACTGTTCAGCCTAACGACGAGCACCTCGAATGATGCATGCGAATCTCAGTGACAGAAACTAAACCGAGTTATACAGACTGGGGCAGCGTTCATTCATCATTTTCAAATATGCACTAGTCGGCCACAGTTTATTCAATTTATTAATAGTAGTGTGTGCTGAAAGACAAGTGTTGCCATTACTGAGGACCGAAGTTACTTCTTAAAAGTAACACCCGTCAGATGTCCATCAATTCGTATACCTTTCCATTACGCGTAGCAACATAATCGGTGATATGGCATTATTTCCTTCAGAAATTCTTTGTCTGAGACTATTTAAGTCTACTGGACGTATCTAAAACACTTTTATTTTCAAGTAGACCCACAAACAGAAACCAAAAGCCAACAGATCGGGCGAACGGGAAGGCCAAGAAATGTCGCTCTAGCAGGAAATTACTCGATGTTCAAACACAGCCCTTCAAGTGTTCATCGACTGCCGAGAAGTAAATTTCCAGCCCGAGAAAACTTTGTAACCAGGAACGCGAAATTATTTGTTAATTTGTTACCAGTTACTACAAAATAATTTCTTTGCATTACTCCGAAGGAACACGGTGATGAACATTCGGGTTCCATAAAGAAAGTGGGATATTCTTTGACAAGCCGAGTAACAATTCACTTTACAAAGCATATCCGGCACCATAGTGAGAGAGAGAGAGACTCCGAAGGATATGAAAAACACCGAAAGTTGTGGTGAATGGTTGGTTCTCCTGCTTCATGTTCGTGAGGTTCCGGGTTTAAATATCGACCAGGAGACCGGCTATCCTGAGTTTCTCGTGGTTTTCCCCCGTCCCTCCAGGAAAATGCCGGGATAGTACCTTAAATTAGGCGAAGATCGCTTCCTTCCACATTCTTTCCAATTCATTATTCACTATCACCCTCGACACTATACAGTCTGAGTTACTGAAAAGCAATCTCGTTAAACACACTATAAATAAATATAGATGTGGAAAACAAACTCGTGATTCTAATCTCGTCTACTGCTTTACGTACAAATAACACACACGCTATTGGCCTTAAATCCCTACCATAAAATGCAAATTTTCCAGGTAAAAGCTGTGTCAGATAAAAGCTTTTGCAGGACCAAATTTAAAATAATATGTAACCCCATAGTAAATTGTGTGCATTTCAATAATATTTATATACGTCATTTATGAATAAGTAGGCTATTGTTAAGGATAATTAATGTTGGGTATTAGTTTTAGTGAGAAAAATATTCTTGGCCCGAAGAAAGAAATACGCTGGACCACCCTGGCAAAAATAGAATACATCGACTGATAACTGTTTTAACTTTTCTTTCGGCCTGCCGCCGGTCTTGCCCGTATTCCGGTTCAATGCATGAAACAGCGACTAAACAATTTTCCTTAATTCTAATCTAATTGCATCTTATACGTTGAAGAATTTCCGGGTATCGGAAGTTCGTACAACTCTTGAAACTTTTAACAAGTCAAAACGTAGATACACGTAATTTATACTGTGTTGTCTTTCGATGAACTTTTGTCACAGTCAAACACTTCCCCCGCCCCGAAACTGTTAAAAGTCGGTGTACTGTCATTTCATTCGGTACAAGCTTCTCAGATCACGTATTGCTAGATGCTTCACAAACAGCAGCAAACGATTTCGATGCGAAGTAATGTTCGAGAATGAGTACACGTTCTGCTCCTGTACAGCTTCTGCGCAGCTGGCATGAGCGACGGCCTAGTAACAAGACTAAACTTGACTCGAATGTCACGGGAGAGGTTCGGAGTGTCGTTTAACGGGAACTGATCTGCTTCTAATTTAATTTTTGTACCGCAAAACGTGGTTGTTGGGCTGTTTCAAACGTCACACCCGTACAATCCACAATTTCCCATTTCCAACAACCTGGTCTTTGAGGCCAAAGGGACGTTCAACGAATGACTCAGCAACCACTAACATCGTCTTTTCTGATTACGATAACCTTAGCAACTGTTACGCTGAGTGACACATACATTAGTTTACAAAACAAATTAAGGCAAGAAAAAGTGAAGAAAATGCCTCAACCTCAAGGTTCCTATGGTTCTCTCTCAAATAGCTCATGTGACATCGAATTACCAAAGACGGTCGCAAAACAAGCACGTAAAAGTCCCTCATACAAGGACGCGATACTCGCATCCCGGTTATGATGTACGTTCAGTGTCCACCACCCACTGTGCCATTTCAAGCAATAAAATTATCTTCTCTCCATCTCTTAACAACAACAGAAATAAAATACAAATATATTTAATAAAACTGTACATGGCGGGTCTGACATCCAAATACAGTCTTCCAATTGAGGTGAAAATTATGACTCACAAGTGGCTAAGTTTAGGAGCCGGGGTAGGCCGATCAGTATAGTGACTGCCTACGGACCGGGCGAGGATTTTTCCTCTAGTCTTTGCGTCCAGACCGGCTCTGGGGCCCACCCAGCCTCCTCTACAATGGGTACCGGGGTCCTTTCCCGGGGGTAAAGCCGGCCTGGGCGTGATGCTGACCACTCACACCCATCTGGTGCAGAGGTCAAGAAAGAGTAGGAGCTATACAACTCTCCCCCTGAGCGCCTACACACCGTGTAGCGGGACATCTTTACTTTTCTTAGAAGCCAAGTTCCCTCTTACGAAGACTGTCTCTGGGAACGAACTACAGTTGTAGTTTCGCGCAGCCCTATCTCCGTAGCTTCCGCTTATTCGTTTTAACTAAGGTGTACCTAAGTGGTTCCCACACTCATACGGAAGCATGTTGATACCAAACCTAAAGCCAGCCACAACAAATTTCAAGCACTTTTCAGCAGGCGCGAGTCATCAAGCAACATGGAAAAGAAAGCACACGAAAAATACTTCAGCTTAATGTTAAATTATTCAAATACAATCAAGAACAAACGGCAAACAAGAAAACACAAGACATTGCAACAAATACCTTTCCTCTTTAACGGCCAATTTTTGTTTTGTTCTCTATAGAATAATCACCATAACAAAATGTCAATGCAATAAACACTCTTAACTCACCACTCATAATTTCAATTCTTCTTGCACGTGGCCCTATGGAATCGTTGTGGATTCTCTACGGGAATTGATATCATGCAAGGATGCATAAATTAGGCAGCTACGGCCAATGCTCGCATCGAAATACCCACGGGTATCGGGTCCACTTGAACAGAAAAGGACATCGAACAGGAGGTAGCAGATACCTGCCCGTACCAGTTACTGACTGCACCCACGATTGTTGACTTATGTGAGTCTGTAGAGATATGTCCAGTAGTGAATGAAATATGACTACCAACAAACAAGGTTGGAGCAGGTCGTTGCCCCAAAGGAAATGGAAGGAGAGAAAAGGTGAAGGTCGTGCAAGGTCGCAGCCAATATTTAAAACGGATAGCTGCAAGAACAGGAAATACGAGTATTCCAAGTCAGAAAGATCTTCCACGCAGTGGTGGAGACATTAATTTACGAAATATGTGAAGGCAAAGAGGGCGTATCGAAAACTCCCCAAATTCAAGGATCCTATCGGTTTCATCTGAGACGGGTAACATAAAATTACCAAAGGCGGTAAAATCCCTTTATCCGAGGATTCAGAACCCCAAGCAACATTAAATCATAACATATAAAACATTCTTGTTCCCATGTGGCGGGGGTGACATCCACAACAAACAGCCATTCGCCTGACTAAACACACTGCACACACCAGTAAAAGCATGGAAAATATTTCTATTAATATGTAAGATAGCCGATATTTTGTAAAACGTCGACTGCCCATAATGGAGGGTTGAGATGTGACTTACGTTGCGAACGACATGGGAGCAAGTCAGCACAATGCCATCAAGACAGTCGATGGTGACACCAGAACCCCAGCTGACTCCACAGCGTACCAGCACCACACAGTCATCCACTCCCGCTGAAAGAATACGTGTTATTTACGTCCACATAGCCACAAAACAATCACGTTGATTGACGCATGGTTACCTAACACATTACTTACCAATAACAACAATTTATGTAACAGCATGGATGGTTACACATGTTAAATTTATTGAATGCATTACCAGGTCTTAATTCTCTTAAGACATAATAATATCACGCCGTAATCATATTATGATTACGTTATTATGGAGAAAACATTAGGAGCGGGTAAGAAAAAACATACTTATGCTATATTTATTTAAGCTGAATACTGAAGCAAAATGACGTAAGTTTTTAAAAGAACACTATTCTACATCATCAACAGGGAAATCATCAAAGCTCATACAATTCTACTGCTTCCAGTAGCGATTAAAGAGTCTGTTCGTGTTCCTCGAAAATCAGATAAGAGGGCTTAAATTAAGGGAACTGTTGAGGCTGGCTGCGAACAGCTAATGCAACGAGGAAAATGAGAGTTGTAACACAGCCGGCATGCCAGACAGTTTTTATGTCCATCCACACTGTGAGGGTGACATTTAAACTGCATACCACTGGTTACACACGACAAACTCGAAACGGATCGTCGTTAACTTCTCTTGTACTAGGTAAGCTGTTATGCTAACAAATTTTCCAACTTTCATTCCCAGTTTAGAACCTGTACAATGAAGAGACGCTATTAATACAACTTACATAAGGATCAAATTGAATACATAAGCGACTTGAGAGCAGTTCATTACATTGTGATTTATCTCTACCTTTCAGCAAAGAAGAACACGAAAAATCAAAGTCAATGTGGATAACAAACACATTTTGTACAAGGCTCTGGAAGACCACGTTTGGCAGGAGTTTTCACTAAGGGGCCATACCTCATTCTGTTAAGCAGAGATCGCATTTTCTATGTTAAGCACAATGCTAATGTAACGATTTGTGGAGCAAAGGTTCGAAATTGGTAGAAAATAGCATGACATACTCAGGTGCAGATGCAAAATAGCCTCGTGACGGCCTAGATGCCAAGCATTAATTCATGTGTACAGAAGATATTGTGCAATTTGTGTTACAATGCTGGTAGCTCGTCAGCAGGTGTTAACATCAGCCAAGAACATTTCAGATCATTTCTCCGATATAAACAGAATTCAAAGTAGAGTTTCCGTTTACATTCCATTCATCCTGCGCACAAATTCTGTCGGCACTGTATGACAAGCATACCTTTTTACGAAAGAGAATAATTTATTTTCCTTTGATCATAGAAGTCTCAAAACAGCACTTCAAGAGCTGATCAAAAAAACAGGCGAATACAGGTTAGATAACAAGCTATTTATAGCATTATTTTCTGTTCATTTTCCTCCTGTCAGTCTGCACGATGGTACATCGCAGAAGACAGCCATCTTCTCTTCTTTCCAATTCAAAATAAGTTAAAAGTTATGGGATTTCAGGTTCTTACGGTGGTGAGTATAAAGATGACTGTCTTCAGGTAACAAGCACCTCTAAAACGTCGGTAAACTTCTACCAGACTACACGGCGCAACAACCCAGAAGACAGCCATCATGTTAAAGCTGACCATTTTACCTATATGGTCACAGCAGAATAGCGCGCATTAGGCAAAGCAGTAAATTGTTCTGGTTCTCTGGAAGATTAAATTATCATTTTATCCAAGTATAATAATCCTAGGAATTATCATTCTTCCGACGGGAGTGACAAGTGCGTTTCCTCTCCAGTACGTAGTTTACCGTTTCCGGAAGAGTCTTAATTCAGCGAAGAGAAACATTTTTATTAAGTACCTAATCGGTCCGAAGAAGTGTCTGGTGGCATGAGGGGCAGACTTTTACTTAAAGACGCGTCCGACAACAATCGGTGGACAACTGGTTGCAGTGCCACGCCCAGGGTGAATCCTATCCACTCACCGCGCCACCAGCTGATGGAGCATAGAACCATCCCTATTAAGCGACGCCCCAGCTTCTCATCTCTGGAACAGGAACACAAATGGCTGGTAGGAGAGTTCGAAGGATCAACACTATTCATACCAAATCCCGCCAATGGACATCACCCGAAGCCAATTTCATCCTCATACAATCCTTTTAATTAAAATCAAGCTCAATGCTATGCTTCCTCCTACGTCGTTTGACCACCAAACTTATGTACTAAATATCACACAATCCATGTATTCGACCCATCGTAACAATCTCGAAACCATGAATTTTCAGGTGGTATAGAAACAGTTCTAGCGTTTAGGTAAATTAATCTGAATATTTGTGACAATGACAAACTCTTGAAAAATACTAGTCTCGCCAATCTTAATTAAAAACGACGATTCGAAGCTTGGAATCTGCCTCTGTCATCAGGTGTAAGCTACTGTTGGGCCCAATCGATATAGCTAGTCCCTATCTCCGATACGAGGACAGGGACAAATTCTAGTATCGGAAACATCGTGTTTTAACTAAAATTATGACGAAGGATGATGCTAAAAATGTCTGTTGTTGTAGCTCTGGCACCGTCTGTAAAAAATGTCTTTAAGTACTTCTTCAAATGATCTCTTAAAAATATATATAATTATCAGTCGTTCTAATATATAACGAACTCAGCTATTTTAAGTCCACTTTACTTAAGAGTAATTACATAATCATCCTCTGAAAAATTACCTTTGTTTAATAACAGAGATTGGCCCTCCTTCGCAGCCGATAGCAGTACTTGCATCTGTTAACAGAAGACAGTGACCAGGACCAAGGACGTTGCTGATGATGCCCTGACTAATCGAGTTATGGAAATAACAGTTCCCGAATGGTGTAGACTCCACAACCACAAACTGGCCACGTTTCAAAACCTCTTCTTCCGGTTCAAACATACCACGGAGCATGTTCACAAATGCATCGTATTCATTTACCTCAGAACTATCATCATTGTCGGTTTGGAGTTTAAGTATCAAAAACATGGATATCAAATTTTTTGCAATCTCAGACTCTGTGTCAACATTACTGTCGTCTTCATTAGACAATGTACTACCTAGTACCCAAGATGACAGAATGGTATCAACAGCTTCCGAAACAAGAGTACTTCGAAATATATATTTCAGAACACATTTAAATTCTTCATGCTTCCCACATGCATCCGAAGATACTAATGGTTGTTCAAGAGCTATTGACAAAGAACTCCCAAGTTTCTCATTATTACACTGCACATATCCTCCAGACTTTGGTGGAATCGTTGGAAATTGTTTATTGGTTGGACTACAATTACCCTCCTTAAAGCCCAAGTTGTTATTTGTGAATGAAATTTGATCATTTGAGCTCGTCACATGTGACGTAATTACTGAAAATGTGACCTGACTTTTCAAGAGCAGTTTGTCTTGTACGCGAACCAGACGACCTTGGTTCGTTGTGTCCACAAAACTTTTCCAGCTGGCCACATTGTTCTGGCCACTTATGTCTTCCAGAACGGTGCTCAGGATGCTTCCGGTCGTCAGCACCCAATCCCGACCCAAACGGATACCAGAGCACCTACGAGGTACGCTGTTACAGGCCACACTACACGACACCAACACGCCAGCAGCGTCCATATTGAATATCTGCAACGAGCGAGGTGACACAAATGTATTCAATCAGATGGTAAGAAAGTGGATTATGTGTTCAATGGCCAGAATTTGATGGCATTTTTAACGTATAATCCATAACCCGCTCCTTACACCGGTGGTAGATGACAGGGTGTATGACGTCTTCATAAGCGTGTGTTCTGGGAAGGAGATATACTCGTTAACATTACACATTAATTAAGCATATCATTAGGTGAGCGGTGGACTCTACTTTAAGATAAAATCTCTCTTGCACTCACGCAAGCGCGCGCACACACTGAAACAAATTAATCTATGCATCCATTAACATCTCCAAAATAACTACCTTTTTAGATCCGCTGACTATTTCAGCCCGTATGACTTCAAAGCAAGAATTGATTTAATTTGCTTTAGTTTTAATACACTGCGTTAGGTGATGCAGTTTAATAATATAGAATATTTATGGCTGACGAGATGAAAACAATCAAGAAGTGGTCATGGCACACTAAGGCACACCTAAAGGTTCTCGGTTCATACATCACTCAAATAGTTGCTGCGAACCGAGGATGGTGGTTTCATGGCTTAACTCTTTAAAACACTGTGGTAACTGGAATCTACCACCTTTTCTAATATTTAGTATATCTGCATCTTTCTCAAAGGGTTTCCTATGATTCTGAGAATAAATCGCGACCATTTCCCTGATCAACTGATTTCTGTAACAAAGATGCGTTGAGTCTTCTATGTTTTTATTATTCTTTCTAGAAGTTAGAACAGAACGAAAATGAAACCATCATGACGTTGTCAGATTCTACAGTGGACAACGATAATCGATAGTCGTCTTGTATGACGACAGATGATACGATTATTTTTCTCAATGAGGCATGTACCATTCCATTAACACCTGAATAGACTAAATTCGTACTGTTCTGGAAGATTACTTTCTATTAAACAAGCCTTCTGTCTCTCCCTTTTCTCCAGCCCTTTCTGTCTCGTCGTCATTAAAAGACCAAGTAGGCCTTACGATATAATGCATAGAATATTACAAGTCGTATCACCATGAGGCGCCATGTCAGTAAATGACAGAAAATATGTGCGGAAACTTTCACTTGCCAGGTCAGAGGTTAACTGACCCGCTATTAAGATGCACATATATTATCTTATTAAACGTGTGTAACATTGAAAACAAGGAATTAATTAATCCAGTACAATGTATTTTGAGAAAAACGCAAGATCAAACATCGCGGTCGAATAATTACTACTCTTGCTTCATATTCTGAGATGCCGGGTTAAAATCTCGGCCCAAAGATATGCTGTCATAAAGTTCGTGTTTCTCTTCAGCCCCTCCAGGCAAATTCCGGAACATGACCACTTCCATCTGTATCCTATCCAATTCATTAATCGTACTATCATTCAACGCTATATGGTATGAGCTATTGACAGCATCTTTAAATAAACCACAAATAAATGTTAAGAAGTAACCGGGCGAAGAACGGGTACTTAGATTAGTATATGATGTGAGATTTAAGGTTCTCGCGGTGAATATGTCGATGCTGGACTTCAGGATTATAACGCCATGTGGACTTGAAGGTAGTTACCAGCGTTTCGGACATATTGCCTCCAGCAATGAAGATGGAGACGGTACTTCTCCGAAACTTTGGTATATATCTACAAGTCACACAGCATTCCAACCAAGAAGGCAAAAAATCGACATGGCATATAAAATGCAACTCCTAAGCATTGCTTGTAGGGTATAATACACAAGTGCGTATTTTTAAAACATAGGTAATTATTTAAAAGTTACACGTGCCCGTTTAAGAACGTAGAAGAAAGCTAGTTGATGTCTAAACATCCAAGGTCTAGTTATTACAGATACCTAAAAACAAAAGTTATACGCGTACATACACAGTCCAAACTACTAAGACGTTGCATAACTTGCAGTCATTCATTAATGACAAAACTTGTTTTACCATGTTTGCAAGTCCTGGTTTGAAATTTGCTCAACTAAGCGTAGATCGTGATACTTCTTATCAGCAGCAAGCTAAATTAAACGAAGGGAGTGTTGGCAAACACCGTAATAAACAACACTTGATCAAACCAGATGGAAATTCGTCAATAATGTAACCCTAAAAGGGATTTGTTGTCAATATTAAATCGATCGACTAAAGTAGCTTTTATCTCGGAGGGAAAAGGTTCTTCCTGACATGAAATACAGCTACCACACCCCTAATATCAACACTTCTCTGAAGCTGTAATTATCACATGAAAGTATGTATGATTAGGTGCTCTATTATTTGTATAGCAATAGGTTACGCATGACGATATTTGTAGCCTTCTAAGCCGAAAACAGCTGTCTTAGCCCAAAGCAATAAGTGTCACCAGGCCATCTGTCACGTTATTTATTAGATAAAATATTTCATAGAAATTTCTCTCCTCCAAACCTTGGTCTGAATAAATGCACAGGTATATTCACTGCCACAAATCTAACCCCATGGAAAAGAGCCCCAATTGAGAATCTAATAGTCGCTCAGCTAGTCACGAAATTCCCCGTATGTTACGGAACCGAAAGTTGATTAAAGTATGAACAAAAGTCTGTCACTGGTCCCTATCCTTTCAGATAAATGCAGTCCACGTCACACCGTGGATCTCCCCGCCTAAATATCAGCCTACCCTCCCATCTACGTCTGGGTCTCCCAAGTGGTTTCTTCCCAACAGATTTTCTTACTAAAGTGTTGCAAGCATTTCCCATCTCTGGATCCTACCATATTAACGAACGCCTTTTTAAATGGTGGGGTTAGCCTCTACACGGTCCAATGAAATGAGACGATCACCATGAATTACGTATTTGAAAATACTATTCCATCATTCGCTCCGGAGAGACCAAAGAAAACCAGAAACAAACCTCAATCAAAACAGCTCACATTTCAAGTGCAAAATCAGAGTCATCCCGCTACAGCACACAGACTGGATTAATGATTTTATTTATATGCTTGTTTCATTAATGATATTCAATTAGTTTTTTATGAGGACTTGATAAAACTGGATTCAACGGGACATTAATTTCTAGCTTGAAGGCAGACAACACACTGAAGCAAGCGTTACATGTATATTCTAATTCTGTCGTATTTACGTAAAGCACAATAGTAGCAGCTTTTTCGCTATATAACCATAGTATTTAATCAAAATATATTAACTCTAAAATGATACTTTTACAGGAGGGAATCTTTAAAGTCGATTGCTTCATTTCTTCATAGACAATTCGCCTTGTAACAATTTTATGAGATACTCTTATCAGAAATTGGCTGAAAGAAAGAGCACTGTGGATTTGGATGTCATATTTTGTAAACCTGTGCTTAAATTATAAATTCACCTGGTAACTTCTTTTTGTAATAAAATCTGGCACTGAAAACTTATGTGAAGACAAAGACAATTAAAGCTACCCCATGTCTAAGCAAAGGTGCCATAAGTGCATATAGAATGCATAGTATTTATTTATTTACTGACATATTTACACAGAGGCAGCGTCCGCCCACCACCAGGTATGGACACGGCTATTAAGTTCCATATATTCTAGAACTTAGCACTCTACAGTAATTTCTAACTGTGTACGTCATCATGGAAGAGACTTGACGTTGTACTCCATACGATGAGACAGGGATGTGGTCTTTTTGCATTTGTTACTGTGATTGAACTTGACTCTCGCCGCGTCTGGCAGAGTCGTTCTCCTTCAGATTCCTCCAGATAACTACCCCAGATGTTCTACCTGCCTTTTGGAGAAAGAAAACCAACACAAATCGTCTTGTTTTCTATTTTGTATCGTAGGATGTATGGTAGTTCTTTCTTACTCAACTTCTTTTGTTAATTTTATTGTTTCTTGGTACTGCTGTTCCTCTAGGTAAGTCAAAGCAATTACAATGTAACGTGGAAGAGTGGTCTAACTTACCAACACTTCTATTCCACCCTGTAAAGCCAAAGCTCATAAAAATAATATTTAAAAATTTAGTTCTTTTCTCACAGAAACAACGTCACCATAATAAAGGTGGATTGGTTAATTCTGTTCAGCTAAATAATCGCTGTTTACACCCAGAATCACATAAAACCTGTACACGTACTCTGTGAATAAAACGCACAATCATAATACTTAAAACAGGTGGTATATATAGTTACCATTGGGTTTTAAGGGGTTACGTTACGTATGGAGTAACTGCTTGGACTTTTCAAAACATGAGCAACCATGGGTAAACTTCTACCAGACTACACAGCACATCCAATAACTCCGAAACCAGCCAATTTCATGAAACTGCCGTGAACGTCATACAACTATGGTCCCTTCTAATTATACGATGACTGGGCAAGTTTATGGGCATGGGAGTGACCTTATCGCTGAAATTTTGTAAGGTGACGACAGTCTTACATACATGTTAAGTATTACGTTTTATTACAAAGAAACAATGAAAAGAAGTTCCTTTTTGGAAGGAAAATTAGGATAGTTTCACGAGTTATGCTCTTTTTACACTATCTTAAAAGAATGCGAAGGGGATATCCAGCCATTCTGTTGTTTAAAATCAGCAAAGCGAAAAGAGATGGGAACGCCTTATGTAGTCTGTAAATAGGACACACTGCATATCCAGACTGTATTTCCAGATTCAATTGTGCAAAAAGAACTTTGGTAAAGTTGTTTCTTTATGTCCATGATCGCCACGATATTTAGTAAATGCAAGAGTATTCCAAAGGAAAACAGAAAACCGGCCAAGCATAAATACATGAAAGTAAAATAAATAATAAATAATCCTACATGGACTACACTAACTTTTATATAGACCTAGTTGTCACTTATTTAAGTAGGATTTGTGGTTCTCGTGGCGGCGAGCAAGAATTTGG